CGAGCAGAACACTTAACACAAGCAAGCTAAGTGGGCACCAAAACAAGCTGAAGTGACACGGTGTTGAGCTGTGTCACACAACTCAAATCCGACCTAGAGAGAGAGAGAGAGATAACAAAAAACGAAACAGAGACGGAGAAGAAGAGAGAGAGAGATATAATAAGAGAGAAATATAAAAAAAGAAGAGAGAGAAGAGATATATATATATAGAGAGAGAGAGAAACCAAAAAAAGAGAAAGAGACACAGAGGCCTGAACTGCCCCTCGCTCGTCTGACCGATCGATGCAGACGGCGGCTCTTCGCCTCCGGCCCCCCCTATCGCCCCTCCAACCAGACAACTGTCTTGAGCTGTTGCTTGACACGGCAGCGAAGAAGATCAGGTGGATAAGGCGGGGAGGGAAGAGAGGAAATCATGCGGGGAGGAAGTCGGGGAGACGCGTGGGAACACACATTATGGGCTAAAAGGGCCCAGCTCCGTTACGACAAAGCTTTCTTAGGTGTTTCCCCATGGATCACTGCTACATCGTGCCTCCCTCACTCACAGTGTGCGAACCCATACAGACGTGGTGGCAAGACCCGCATATATACTATATATATATATATATATGTTTTGGCCTGAAGTGCAGGAGTTCAGAACGCTTTCACGCTGATGCTAACCTGTCCCTGAACATCCTGTAACACCTGTTCATCTTCAGAAGTTGCCACATACGAAATCGCGATCATCTCTTGGCTGATGAGACGGCCATCGCGTCCCACGCGAAGAAAGTTCGAATCACTGTTGATAGACATGTTGTAGTTGCTGACATAGAAGACGTCTTTGATGTCAATGCCATTCTCAAGCATGTCCGTAGGGATTAAATCCTTCGCAGTGTATCTGGCCGCTGAAAGCCATTTGAGCATCCCTCTTGGTAACAGCTCGAATGGATTACGAGTGTGTGGACACGGCACCATTCGAGGAGCTCGGCAAGCGCCAGTGCGCGCTCAGAAGAGCGCACGAATCTGATAGCCTTGTCGAAAGCCAGGCCGTTGAAGATCTCCAACACCTTCCTAGCTTTCTCCCGCTTCCACAACTTAGTGTGGTAGTGCCGCAGCCCTTTCAGCTGGGGGGTGGGTTCTGGATGAGGCTCGGCATTGCAAAATCCAGCAGGCTCGACACGTTCGGCTGAAGGAGGAACTAGGAGTACAGCATCAGCAGTATCACGCCGATTCTGAAAATACTCGGCAACATCACCTCTGAGATTACGTCTGCACGAACAGGACCATCAGCAGGATGCTGCGGATCAGAACGATCCCGTTGCACGTCCGTGCCAGGCTCATGCACGGCTTCTCGGCAATGTGGTCCACTGATGCTTCAGCATCTAGTTGTGCATGCTGTTCTTTTCATTCGGGTGGGCCTTCAGCAGGCCTTACTTCAGGTTGAACAGCTTCGGCACGAGATGCGCAGGCACTCACGAGACCAAGCTCGCGGAGCAGAAGATCCACCTGCTCTCCCTCGAAGGTCGGCAAGAACCTCTCGATCGACTGACTCCAAGGCCGGCGTGAACTCCTCCGCGTAGAATTGCACCCCTCCCGGGGCTGGCCATTCGCCCGCTCCTGGCACGAAGAGCCGCGCATCCGAACAGAAACGCGACACCACGCCCTCGCGCCGCATTTCCAGGCGGGGTCCGCGCGGTCAACGCTGGCAACAGCCCCAGTACCCGGCGGGCGGCCTCCTCGTTGCCCACGAAGGGGTTGAAGGCGGCCTTGAGCTGCAGGGACTCCGCCCGCTGCTCCTCTAGCGCGCCCGAGATGCGCATGATGGCCCTGTCCGCCGAAGCGCGGGCCCAGTCGCGCGACAACTCGCGCATAGCAGCTGTCCGCCTCGGGGCGCCCTCCGCGCCGTCCCGCGCCATCTAGCCGAGCCCCGCGCGCGCGCCCGTCGAGCCCGCGGCAGTGGGGCTAGCAAGGCCAGGGCCAAAATGGCTACGGAACCTCCCCCTCCTCCTCGTCCTCATTCTCCTCCTCCTCCTCCCGCCTCCCTCTTCCTCTTCCGGTTTCTCGTCCTCTTCCCCTTCCCCTTCACCTTCCTCCTTTCTCCTCCTCCTCCTCCTCCTCCTCTTCCTCCTCCTCCTTCTCCTGCTCCTTCTCCTCCTCCTCCTCCTCCTCCTCCTCCTCCTCCTCCCTCCTCCCTCCATCCTCCGCCCTCCTCCTTCCCTCCTCCCTCCAGCCTCCCCTTCCTTCCTCCTCCTCGCCTCCTTCTCCCCCTCCTTCTCCTCCTCCCCTCCTCCCTCCTCCCTCCTCCGTCCGTCCTCCTCCGTCCTTCCTCCTCCCTCCTTCCTCCTTCCTCCTCATCCTCCCTCCTGCTCCCTCCTGCTCCTCCCTCCCCTCCTCATCATCATCATCCTCCCTCCTCCTTCTCTCCTCTCCCTCCTCGCTCCTCTCCTCCTCCTCCTCCTCCTCGCTCCTCCTCCTCTTCCTCCGCCTCTGTCCTCCTACTCCCCTTATCCTCATCCTCCCCCTTCTCCTCCTGCTCGTGCTCCTCTATCTCCCCTCCTCCTCCTCCTCCTCCTCCTCCTCTCCTCCTCGCTCCTCCTCCTGCTCCTGCTGCTCCTTACTCACTCCTCCTCTTCCTCTCCTCCTCCTCCTCCTCCTCCTCCTCCTCCTCACCTCCTCTCTCCTTCTCCCCTCATCCTCGATCCTCATTTCTCCTCGTTCCTCCTCGTTCCTCCTTGTTCCTCCTCGCTCCTATTCCTCCTCCTCCTTCTCCTCCTCCTCATCCGCTTCCTCTTCCTTTTTTTACACTGCAGATCAGCCTTACCTTGCCCTTTGGAGATTGCACCCCTCCTTCTCGTCCTCCTCCTCCTCCGCCTCCTCCTCCTCCTTCTCCCTCATCCTTCATCCTCCCTCCTC